TCATCCTACAACCTCACTAACCAAATCTATTTTTTATAGACAGCGGAAACAATAAAAATTTAGGTGAGTTTGAAATGTGTTATGATATTATTTTTTTAATATTGATCTTTAAATTTGAATTCATATTATATTTGAGACGGTTGATATTAATCTGGAATAATTCATAAAATATGAGATTTTTTGAACTAAACTCATATCACTAAATTGATGATATTGTGTGTTTTGATACTATAACGAATGAACTAAAGCAAAATTTTGAATTTCCCAAAACAAATTTTTGTTACTAAACATGGTTTCAATTTCTACTTAAAACACTCCTACAACAAAACATTTGTTTTGATATTAACCAAAAACATAATATCTAAAATATATCGTATATCAAACAGACCCACATAAAAACGTATAGCTCCTATCTTAAGTATCTAAAATTTTAACTCAATTAATCAACGCACCCTTTTATTCATCTAAATGATGTTTCCAAGACAAGTAGATTTTTAAAAAAAAAATTATTTTTGTTCTCAGTGCCATTACTAATGGAGAGTCTATGTATAGCAGCATACTCTGACTCCTGGAAAAGAGTTTAATTTTTAGAGATAGACAACTCTGGAATTTGTTCAACTTCTTATATAAATTGGAAAATTAAAGAAGAAAAAATAAAAAGAAAATTAGAAGGATAAAAAAAGTTCATAATGTTTTTAATTGATATGTGCAAAGAGCACTAATACATAAGCGGGTGGCTTACACCCACTCATATATTTTATGTTCCACGTCCTTCAAATTTAGAAGAGATATGTCATTTTTATTCACAAATAAATAAAAATAAAAGACATGAAAAAAGTGCAAGATAATGTAAAAGATATTATTGATATACGCCAAAGCTTTGACTTGTTAGAAGAGGATCAGCCGCCCCAACTTTCTCGCCCGCCTCTCTCTAACCCTTTCGTCTTCTTCATCACTCTGCCTCGTTTTATGGGAGTAAAGAAATGATGGTCGCCTCTCACGGTTGTAATAAATTCGACATATTTTAATAAATGTGTTCCGTGGATATTTTTTTACGTCATTTTTGTTTTTCTTCGGCTAGATCTGTTCATGTTCGGTTCGTTTTCGGATGACATGGGTAGATCTGTTATTTCCTCCGACTACATCTCTAGTCTAGATCGGTTTTAGTTTTTTCTACCTCGATTTAATCTTTTTCTCCTTGATTTAATCTTGTATGAGATTTTTTGTATGTCGAAGCGTCTTGTGGTTGTAACTTTAGAGCAGTTACTGTACTGATGGCCAGACCTTTCGATCTCTCCAGTTTGCTGCAGTTACTGTACTGATGGCCAGACCTTTCGATCTCTCCAGTTTGCTGCATGCTCTCATGATGATTTCGTTTATAAAATGTTGGGCTCTATTTTTTTCACAAATCTGAAACATGTTACTCATTTATTTACTTTATTTCAAGATTTATATGTGATTGTTGACTTGGCTTCATATCTCTCACTATCATCTTAACTTTTGCCCCTAGTGCCTTTGAATGACAAACAAAAAAAACAAATAAAATAAAATAAAATAAACAACTTGTTAAAAGAAGAATGTCAAAAAGCAAGAATTTAATACTACTAAATGATATTGATATATACCTAAACTTTGTCTTGTTAGGCTGGCAAAAAAGAAGCAATCAAGCTATAGTATCGGCACAGAGGTGTGGATTCTGGAAATCTAATCAGAGGTTAGAATAAGTTGGTACTAATAAATTATGAGGAATGATAAGTTACACCAAAACCATGCAATGAATCATTGGACAAAATAATGTTGTAGTCTAACTAGCAGAGAATGTGATTTTTTACTAATCTATTTATTCACATTTATTGTTCACTATTTCTAATTTTATAAATCTTTTGCCATCCGCAATTTGTATCATTTCCCTAATTTTAGAAACCTTTCTGCCATCCCTAATTTGTATTATTTATTTTTTCCTTGGATTCAATGCTAGCAACAACTTCAAATGTTTTGACTTTTGAAGATTTGGAGTCATTGAGTACCTCTGTATATGTATATGTTGCTGCAAATTTATTTTTTTTAAAGTTCAACGCCAATGTCAATCCATTTAATAGAGATTGATTCAGACGATTAGTGCTAATCAAACAATTTCATCTAAATTTTGCAGCAACATATACATATACAGGGAAATTGATATATATATATATATTTGATTTACTAGAGGTTTCTAAAATTAGGGATAATGAATAGTAAACGTGTAGATTAATAAAAAAAATCACGTTCTCTGCCAATTGAAATGCCACATCATTATGCCCAACAATTCTGTGCATGACTTTTGTGTAACTATCATTACTCATAAATTTTAGAGAAAAGTACAGAAAAAAACTACTCAACTTTTAGTCTTTTTCGTAAATTCTTATTGTCTATTTTTTAATCAAACAATCCATCTCCACTATTTAAAAGGGGGTAAAAGATTTGATATTTGGATCAAAATGCTATTTTATTTAAATCTTAATTCTTTTGAATTTCAAAAATTCATATCTCACAAACCGTACATTTAAAAATTGTAAATAATATATGCATGGAAAGTTTATGAAATAAGTATTCCACAAATATAAGATTTGTACAACAAAACTTCATAACCAAAGAGAGATAGGCAATCTAAAAATCTACCCCAACAATATTATTTTATTTTAAAAAAATAAAATACTTTGCAAGAAAATTTTCAGAATTATTCATTTACATATGGAGCCAAATATATAAAAAAAATTACCCTCAATAGAAATCGATTTCATGAGATGTTATATTTTGCGTCAAAGTATTTTTATTCTTTTATAGAGCCGTCATTTAAAAAATAAATAAAAATGGATATTAGCTCTCTATTGGGGCTAGTTTTTTTATATGTTATGCTGCATAAGAAAATAAATAATTATGAAAATTTTCTTGCAAATAAACGGAGTATTTTATAAAAAATAAAATAAAAAAGATTGTTGCACTAGATTTTTAGATTGTCTATTTCTCTCTGGTTATGAAGTTTTGTTAAATAAATCTCATATTTTTTAAATCCTTATTTTATAAGTTTTCCGTGTATATATTATTTGCAATATTTGAATATACGATGTAAATTTTTAAAGTTCGAAAAAATTAAGATTTAAATAAAAACACATTTTGGTCCAAATATCAACTATTTTACTCCCTTATATAGTTGATGGGGTTTTTGTTAAAAAATTAGACAATGAGAATTTATTGGAAAGCGCTACAAGTCGAGGGAAGTTATTTGATAAAAAAATGGATGAGATAGTTTACCGAAAAATGTTACAAGTCAAGGTAGTTTTTTTGTACTTCGCCTAAATTTTATGTTATGTTTGGGACTATATAATTGGTATTTTAAATTTGGAATCCAAAAAAATTAAAATTAAAATTAAAATTATTTTAATTTTAAATTCAAATGGTGGATAATGTACTTTTAAACATAATATTAGTCCATTCAATTTGATGCAGGAAAAAGTCTTCATGCAATTATGATAATATGTTATATATCACTCGGCATTATCAATTAATTATATCTAATCAGAAAAAATACATTTATTTGAATGAATCTTTTCACAATCAATTAGTAGGCAACCTTTTCGTTGATTAAAAAAAAAAAAATGTAATATTAAAAAAATTATAGTTTGATGGAACTTCCTATTTTGACGATATTATGAGAATAGCTAAGTCTTTTACTAATTTGTCATACTCATATAATTAAAGAGTTGGCTCAACCGTTTGAGTTAAGAAAAACAATAATCGGTGCAGATTAAAAATTGAAAAATTCCATAATTTTCTTTGTTAATTCAAAAAAAGAAAAAACATATACAAAGATATATACACAATATATATATACTACTATGATTTTCTTTATTTTAAGATCTTATTACTAAAATATTCCCTCTCCAGTCTCCTCCAGAGTTCTGCCCATACATTCTTGTTTCACCTCACCACACCACAAATTCTGTGTGTGTGTATATATATATGTATGTATAGATATATATATCCGTCTATATGTATAAAAATATATATTGAGTTCTGAGAGAATCGCCAATGGTCGGTTGGTACAGAGACTTGCAAACTTTTTACAGCGAATGTCGGTTCTGTAAATCTGCCTAATCCCGCTAAATCACACACTCCACTTTCCTCACCCTCCCGTAACTTCCAGGAACTTCTCCTTCACCTTCAAAACCCTACAATGTATTCATTCATCAAGCTGTTCAAGATGATAAAGAGTCGCATACACACCTTCAGGATATAAATGGTGATTAACTGCATTTACACGTAACTGCTATTCACAGTGTTCATTGATTTCTTATGGATCTGGGGTGTTTTAGTACTAATAATTTGCATTAATGACTGATGAGACTTTCCACAGTGTTTACTGGTGAAAAGTTGGATTTCGTATTTAATCGACTTGGATTCGGATGTTCTTTTCTTTTCGGTGCTTTTTGAGTTCGGCTGATTGTAAGTTACTAATTAATTGCAATTACTGTCAATTAATGGTAACGAGAAAGCTTGAGGTTGAGTTTGATCGGGAATTCACTGATATTCCACCAAATCGAGGGTTTTAGAAAGTCATTTTCTCGGAAAGCAAACACCAAAAAGGCATTTTGCTAAAAGCAGAGAAGGACAAGGTGGGGTTGATTTGGTGCAGTAATAGCTTTACGACGTAACGGAAATGGTAAGCGCGTTTATGGCGTGACCACTCCACACAGTGGGTTAGGGGAAGGGTTGGTAATGGTGTGAAAGTTGTACCATTTTAGAGTAATAGAGACCATGTTCTAATCACGTGGCTCTGCCCTTATAGTACCAACATTACTTCTTCTCAATACACACACTACACACACTCTCTCTATATCTCACACACATCATCATCATCATCATCAAAAATCAAATTCATCTTCAGTCATGGTTTTGTAGGAGCTCAAAACTTTTCAAGGTCTCTGGAGATGAGTTTCAGTGAGTCCTTGAAATTATATTTGTAATTTGCTTATGGAGGTGTTAATTTATAGCTCACACTGTTACACTATAGTTATCTCTTACCAAAAAATATTTTCAAAATTTTCTGGTTTTTAGGTCTGGGTTTGTTTTCATCAGGTGTAAGCAACTGCAAATTCAATAAAGTAGAGATTGAATAAGGGTATTTGCCTTTGCTTATTTCATAAGCTTTCAAGCTGTGAAAGTTTTACACTAGTGTTCTTCAAAGATGGTGAGAATTTGGAAATCAGATTCTATGTATATAATATTATGTATATGAGAGAGAGAGGAGAGAGAGAGGGGGGTAGGTTTTCATGGTCCTTAAAATGGCCTTTATTTCCGTGGGCTCCTCTTGGTGTGATTGATTTGATAATTCAACTGTGAAATACAGCTTTCCTTGCCGTCACTAATGACTCAAACATGCTCTTGTTTTTTTCCTTCCGCGTGAGATTTAACTTTGCGAATTGAACTGTTAAATTGAACTTCCCTGTAGTTTTTATCTCTTGGTGGGTTTATGTCTGTTGGTAATCAGTGTTCAAGGGTTCAACATTTCGTGTTGGGTCTTTAGCTTAAATTAGGGGCAACGGTTAGGTGGTACCAGTTTCTCTCTCTTCTCATCAACCGAGAAAGAAACAAGAATCAGAAAAGAAAATTGTGGAACTAACACATGAGAACTCTTCAACATTTGGGGCACATTATCTGAACAATTCTGTGTCTGAGCTGCAATTCCTATGGCAGTCACATATCTATAATCGTTGGGGGGTCAATTTGCTTTAAGTTTTGTCCCTGTTCTGGAAATTTCTACACAAATGTCGGTTTGCTAAAAGATTGCTGAGAATAAAAAAGGTATGGTTGTCATGTGGGTTTATTGAAAAGTGTGTGAATGCGTCCTGCTTTTATCTCCTCCAGATTATGGAGTAAAGTGCAGATATGGGTTGGTGTCCTTGGATGTTTCTTCAAAATATTTCTTAATTTTTTGTTTATAAAAATTATTCTTCCTGAATGCTGAGTATAAACGATCATCATTTTAATTGCTTCAGTGAGGATCTGCATTTAGCATATGCGGCAAACAGAAATTTCCATGTGAAGATTGACGCCGGAAGCATGGATCTTGACTACGGAAAGTGCTGGAACAGTCCAAAGGTCCGTCCATTTCACTATTTTTTTTCAATTACAGAAATCTATGGTGTCAAATAACTACGAGCCTAACCCTTTAGATGTTTCTGGATATATGGTTGGACCTAATTGATATACACCATTTCAGTTCTTATAATTGGTGAAAATTCATATATCAGGATTTCCACCATGCATTCTTAATTTCTTAGAGAATTGTTTGGTTGAATTGCATTTCAGAAGGATTCTTGGAAGACAGTTCTGCTATTAGCTTATCAAAGTCTTGGTGTGGTCTATGGAGACCTGAGCATTTCCCCACTCTATGTTTACAAGAGCACATTTGCAGAAGACATTCATCACTCAGAGACGAACGAAGAGATTTTTGGTGTTCTTTCGTTTATTTTCTGGACTCTGACTCTAGTTCCTTTATTCAAATATGTCTTCATAGTCCTTCGAGCTGATGACAATGGGGAGGGTGAGTACTGGGATGTTGAGAGATATCATAATCATTTGGTATGAGATTTTAAGATTTTTTTTATGCATGATTCTGCAGGTGGTACTTTTGCCCTCTATTCCTTGTTATGCAGGCATGCCAAAGTAAGCCTTCTGCCCAACCGACAAGTCGCTGATGAAGCACTCTCCACATATAAACTGGAGCACCCTCTGGAGCAAAAGAACAGTTCAAAGATAAAACTGTTACTTGAGAAGCATAAATCCTTCCACACTGCTCTACTAATCTTGGTTCTTCTTGGCACTTGTATGGTAATTGGAGATGGACTGCTCACTCCAGCCATTTCTGGTACTTCTCTTTTCTGTTGGGCAAGTTTTATTGTCCGATTGCCTCTTAATTTGTTTACTAACAACTCTGTATTTATGCAGTTTTCTCGGCGGTTTCTGGTCTTGAGTTTTCCATGTCTAAGGAACACCATCAATGTAAGCTTTTTAGTATATAGTAATCAAATAAATATTCAATTGACTAATCCCATCTGATATTAAATCGTTAGGTAGTTACTTAGGATGGTCCAATAATATTATCTGAACTCAGGGAGCAGAATACAAAAGGAGCAGTTAATTGCCTTGTAGTTTTCTGTCAAGTTCATTATCAAATAGGGTCAAGGATATGGTACTACTCTTTTTCTTTTATTTTTTCCCGGTTTTAGGAATCCATAAAACCATTTAGAGACTTGAGAACAACGGAGAAAGAAGTACCATTTACCACAAATTATTTTATTTTTTTCATTTATACATGAGGATGAAAGAAATATGTTCTTCATATCTCCAATCAGTAATGCTGTCTGTTCATTACTCCTTCCTTAATTATACTTGCAATTTTCAAGTATGCTGCATTGTTTTCATTAAATGCGTCATATATGGGACCACTCTCATGCTGTTGGGAAGGATGTCGGGGTAGCGATTTCTTGTTTCAACCAAATATTTTATTTGTTTGACTCTTGTTCCATTTTTGAGTAAATTTACATCTACAGACTTCAGCATATTATATATGTTAATCATGAGGGTGTGGCCTTCACCATGGGAGCTTCAGAATTGACAATTGGATATTGGACTTTTTTGGACAGTCTGATTCAATTAGTGAACCAAAACTATTTGGCCTATGGTGCAGGGACCAATCCAAGTTGTGTCTGCAGTGACCATATCTTATACTCTCTGGTCCTGTCCATTTCACCTTATATCTTGGAGGATAAGAGTTCTATAAGTGAGGTTAACAAAGTGATACTCCTCTACATCAGTGATGATGCATCTTGCTGATCTGAAACAAGGATCACTAAGGATAATGAAGGATATGTGCTCTATATTATCAAATGCTTGAGAACAATTCAAAGTGGCATTATGATGCAATTATTTTATGTGAAGTGGCAATATATATGTACAAGTCACAGTATAATGCAATAGTACTAATCAGGGGGAAAATATTTATAATCATTTGTCCAGAGGAAATCAAATTTTTTATCTTAATTTTCTACTTTGTTTAAAAGATTCTAGATTCATTGCATAATATGGTCAAAGTAAATTAATGTAATGGTAGTGCTATTGTGTTTGTTAACTTACAGAGTCCTTTAAACTAGGTTGGCAAATAGATAATCCTTTATTACGAGTGGTAATGCATCATTTTTTGCTTATTTAAAGGAACTGATTGGGGAGGGTGATGAAGAATTTGTGTTCTGTATTATCAAATGCTTCATAACATTTTAGGGCAGTAATATATGTACTATTATGCAACATCATTCTTGAAGGGACCCAAAAAAAAAAAAAAAAAAAAAAATCTTGATAATAGAATTTCTCTAAAGGAAATAATTTTTATCTTTGTTGATGTGATTTTAAATTTCTAAATCAGTGAGTTTTCTCAAATTAAATGACTCCGATACATCTAAATTTATCTGAAATGTTATATTTTATTATTACTTACTGCACCTTTATATAACCTTTCCTGTATCGTGGTTGTAGACCTGCATCTATCAGAAAATAATGGCAAATAGATACTTTGGGAATATGGGGGTAAATTTATTCAAGCAAAAGGGGGGGGGGGGGGGGGGGGGGGGGGGGGGTTTGGTGGCGCGGTGGGGGAATCTTCTTTCAATCTAAATTTTTGTTTGAGCAGCTGCATTTTGAAACCACACTCACCTTATTAAGAAAAACCACTCAAATTAGGAAATGTTTAATGTGGAAATAACCTTCATTAAGTACTTAATGATTTTAAATGTTGCTCTTAGAGTTTCAGGTTTAAAATGTTCTAATTGCTTACTTCTTCTCCCTATGGACATATATGCAAGTAATGTAGAGATTTTCTATTTATCCTATGTTTTTACTCATTCCATCCTTTACATCTGTATGTATTACTTCATTTGTAGATGCGGTGATTCCAATTACTTGCTTCATATTAGTGTGCCTATTTGCACTACAACACTATGGCACGCATCGGATTGGTTTCTTCTTTGCTCCAGTTGTGTTGGCTTGGCTGGTATGCATCAGCACCCTTGGTGTGTATAATATATTCCACTGGAACCCACATGTCTATGTAGCTCTTTCCCCATATTACATGTTCAAGTTCTTGAAGAAGACAGGAAGGAACGGATGGATGTCATTGGGTGGAATGTTATTGTGCATAACAGGTATAATTCTTTTTTTTTTCTTAGTCGGTAGTCACACACACTTGTCTCTTTTGAGACTTGAACCCCTGACCTCCTTTTGGGAAGTAAGAGGTGATACCGCTAGGCCACTGACCCGTTGGCAGGTATAATTCAAAAACACTGCATAAGGTGAATTATTGTGTTTTCCATTTTTCCTACTTGTGTGATTAGTTAAGCATGATGCCCGTGTTACACCTTAGGTGCCAATGTGCAGTACTGTTTCAAGTATTTGAAGCATCTAGCAGAGGACTTCATGATACCCAACCTAAAATGCTATTGTATCCGTATGTGGTGCAGTAGCAAACGAACTTGCCATTATCATGTGGCATAAAATTTAAACAAATTGTGGACACAGATTAGTCTTTATATACAGGTTTTTTTAGAGGAACAGGTTGTATGATTATTTATTAACCAAATGGGACATGAAAAGAAAATATGGTCATACAGGACTCCTTTTAAGAAGTCAATTTAAAATTAAGTTTTGAGTGTTTTAGAAATGGTCAATTGCAGTCAGAATACTGAAGTTCAATGTATTCATTTGTATGCGGTGCAGCATATCTCTTAACACAGAAGTAACTTTTAAAATCTTAGTCTCATGTGGTGCATGTTTTTAAGCCTTCAAGACGCACAATGTTATCATTGGACTGGCCTTTTTTGTGGATTATTTTGGATCGACACCCTGAACCTCACCCAAAGTAAATTTTAGACAACAAAATTACAAAAAAATCAACTTCATCCTTTGCCCG